TGGCATATAAGTCAGTCATCAATCTCATTATCCGGGGAGGGCATTTAAAGTAGCCTCTCTTCTGTTGCTTAGATTTCTAGCTGGTGTCATCTTTGTACATCTCCAGACATTTCCCTAGTGCCTGATTTCTCTGTAAATCTAAAATGTCTCCCTGTATTATGGTATCTCCATTCTTGTTATCTTCTATTCTTCCCCTGACTCAACCTTTCTGCTCCCTCATGTCCTCTGCATCCCTCCTCTTCTTCCCTTCTCATCTCCTAGTTCCTTCCCCCCTCTTCCCGTACTCCAATTTTCTCAAGGGATCCTGACCCTTTTCTCTTCTCTAGGGGACCATGTATGTCTCTCTTAGGGCCCCACAAATAATATTTTGAAGACAGGGACTCCCTGTGTTGCATAAGCTGGCCTGAAACTTGCACCACAGTCCAGGCTCAGATTCACAATCCTCCTTTCTTAGCCTCCTGGGTGTGAATATAATTGTGGGCTTGGTCCCATGATGTTTTAAAGAGATACTCATTTGACTGATAAGATTTTTAAATGGCAATCTATATAATTTGGGGGAGGTACTAGGTATTGAATAGGGCCCTTTTCCTACATGGCAGACAAGCACTCTACTATTGAGCTATATACTTAATCAAAAATCTAATCTTTACAAATATAACCTCTTCTGGCTTGAAGTATGATTGCATTACTTTCCTGTTAGTACTGTAATGAACTATCACAAATATAATAGCTTAAAATAGTACAAGTTTAGGAAAGTGAGATGGTTTTGTGGGTAATGGTACCTAATGCTAAGCCTGATAACCTGAGCTGAATCCCTGGGTACTACATGGTGGAAGGAGAGAATCAATTCCTGCAGATTGTCATCTGACCTTCATATGTGTACCATGGCATGAGAACACACACACAAATGAATAAAAATAATTTAAAAGTTAAAAAACAACAAAAGTTAAATATACCCTTATTATTGCTAGAGATTAATAGTTCAAAATTAGCCTTACAGAGGCTAAAACTCAAAACCTAAGTATCCAGGGAGAAAATCCATTTATTGGCTCTTCCAGTTTCTGCACTTCAGGAAATAGTTATTCACATTCCTTTACTCACAGCCTCACCACTCCCAACCTGCTTCTGTCATCAAAACTCCCTTCTTTCTTTCTTTCTTTCTTTCTTTCCTTCCTTCCTTCCTTCTTTTCTTTTTTTCTTTTGGTTTTCTGAGACAGGTTTCTCTGTGGCTTTGAAGGCTGTCCTGGAACTAGCTCTTGTAGACCAGGTTGGTCTCGAACTCACAGAGATCCACCTGCCTCTGCCTCCCGAGTGCTAGGATTAAAGGTGTGTGCCACCAACACCCGGCTCAAATATCCCATTTCTATAGTCTGATCTTCCTCTTGATTCCCTTTTAAAGAGATTATGTGTGATTACATTTAGGGCCCATTTGGATAATTGAGATTGGAAGTATATTCTTCTACATCTCAAAATCCTCAATTATGTTTGCTAAGTCTTCTTTGACACATAAAATAATGCTCATGGTTTCAAGGATTATGAAGGGATGTCTGGGGTGAGACAATACTCATTGTTCCACAGTTCACCCCTTTGGCCCTGAGGATACACATTCCTTTCACATGTAAAATATGTTTATCCCATCCCAACATCCCCCAAACTCTTTAACATATAATAATATCAGACCAAGTCCAATGTCTTCTCAATATCGTCAGCCCCAAAGTCCAAATATACTTTAATGAGGTATGGATGATAATCTTGATAAATGACATCCTGGGACAAGATTCCTTTCCATTTGCAGACCATTATAACTAGAAAATACAATTTCTGCTCCTCAAATTCAGTAGCAGGACAGGACTGGTTATAAACAATGGACATTCCCATTATAAAAAGAAAAAATGGAAGGAAGAAAAGAGTTAGCAGTACCAAGAAATTTTGAGACCCAAGTAGGCATGTCATTAGATTTCAAGGCTTAGCAGTAGTCCTCTGTAGCTCGTCGGTCCCCTCTCTGAGCCGAAGTTCCACCCTCAAGGCCCAAGAGTCTTCCCTTTGAGTTAACCTTCTTTTTACTTGGAAAGCAGCGTGTGCCTGCAGCTGAGCAGTTTCATCAATCTGCTTTCCCACTGTAGAATTCTGGAAATCCAAAAGACTTCTTTCAGCTTGTCCTGTATTTGTCATCTGTCTTTTTCAGTCTAAGTTGGCAGTATTTCTGCTGGTACAGGTAGAATATTCTTTATCCTAAATACTTGGGACCAGAAGTGTTTTATAGTTTAAAAATGGGAATCTTCGTATATGCTTTTCTGGTTGAGCAAGCATCATTTACCCAAAGCCTTAAACTCTGAATGCAGTCCAAAGTCCTAAATTTAGGATTCAAAAATCAAAACAAGGTATAAATACTGTTGGTTTCTTCTGGAAAGAATTCATTCTTTGCCAATCCTGACTTCAAAAGGCTGTGGACATACCTTGATAATCCTCACAGCAACACAACCCCAATTTGATGGTTTGAATGAAGATGGCCCCCATAAACTCATAGATCTGAATGTTTGGTGACCAGGGAGTGGCACTATTTGAAAGGATTAAGAGGTGTGGCCTTGTGGGAGGAACTGTGTTACTGGGAGTGGGCTTTCAGGTTAAAAAGCCCAGGCCAGGCCCAGTGACTCTCCCTTCCTGCTGCCCGCATATCCTGATGTAGAACTCTTAGCTACTTCTCCAGCAAGATGTCTGCCAGCATGCCATCATGATGATACTGGGCTAAACCTCTGAAACTGTAAGCAAGGCACAATTAAATGCTTTCCTTTTTAAGAGCTGTTGTGGTCATGGTCTCTATTCACAGCAATAGAACAATGATCAAGAAAAAAGTTGGTATCAGGGAGCAGAGTACTGCTATGACAGGCCTGACCATGCTGTTTGCTGGTGGAATATACTTTTGAATTTTGGATTAGGAAAACAGTTGAACACTTTAAGCAGGACTTAATGGGTCATAATAATAGCCAGTTGTGGTATCACACACTGGTATGATTTTCTGAAGGATGTGGAGGCAGGAGGATCATGAATTTGAGGCCAGCCTGGACTTGGCAACATGGACTACCACTCACCAAGGCTGACTTGCCTATAACTACTGCTGAGTGCCAGATCTAGGAACAACAGAGAACAACAATGAGCCAGGGATATGGCAGGCTGACTACACTGAACCATGTCCTCCATAGAAAGAACAACACTTTGTCTTTACTAGAGTAGATACTTATTCTGGCTATGGAGTTGCCTTTCTTGAATGTATTGCTTCTGCCAAACCCATCCATGGACTTGTACAATGTCTTATCTACGGAATTCTACACAGTATCACTTCTGACCAAGGAACTCACTTCACAGCCAGAGAAGTTCAACAGTGGGCCCATGATAATGGAATACACTGGTCTTACCGTTCCCACCATCCTGAAGCAGCTGGCCTAATAGAAAGCTGAAAAGGCCTTTTGAAGACATATTTACATTGCCAATTAAGTCACAGAAACCTTATGGGCTGGAGCAGGATTCTCCAGAAGGTGGTATATGTTTTTAATTAGTATCCAATATATGGTACTGTTTCTCCCATAGCCAGAATCCACAGTTCCAGGAATCAAGGGGTGGAAAAGGGAATAGTTTCACTCACTATTACCCCTACTGACCCACTAGGAAAGTTTTTGCTTCTTGTCCCCATGACCATAAGTTCTTCAGGCTTAGAAGTTTTGAATCTACAGGAGGGAGAGCTGCCAGGACCCATAACAAACATTATTGAACTGGAAGCTCAGACTCGCCCTTGGACACTTGGGTTTCTGATACCCTTAAACCAACAGGTTAAGAAAGAATAACAGTGTTAGGATGGGTGGTTAATTCAGATTACCAAGGGGACATTGGACTATTTCTACACAATGGAGGTAAGAAAGATTATATCTAAAGTGCAGGAAATCCTTCAGGGTGTCTCTTGGTGCTACCATGTTCTGTAATGTCAATGGGAAACTACAACCTCCTAATCTAGGCAAGATGACTAAGGACACATACCCTTCAGGAATAAAAGTATGTATGTGTCACTAATCCAGGAAAAAGATCCAAGACCTGATGATGTATTTGCTGAGGGTGGAGGAAATACAGAAGGGGTAGTAGAGGAAGGCAGTTAAAAATACCGGCTAAGGCCATATGATCAGTTGCAGAAATGAAGATTAAAATTGACATGTTTTTGTCATATTTCATTAAGCATACATTTATATTTGTGACTTCTTTCCTATATTTATCAAGTGATATAACAACAATTCAGAGATTGTTAATAATTATCATATTTAAATTTGAGATACTGATAGGATGTCTGTCAAGAGACATTACCATCTATTCTAAATTTATAATGCATTGCAGTTGTGCGAGGTATAGCTATATTATGTTAGGAATTATTATGAGCTAGTTATTGTTCTCCATTTGGAAATTAATCATGACATAAGGAGATATGATTGTGTGCCAATTTGACAAGGGGTGGACTTGTGATGGCTACTATATCTCGAATGAAGTAAAGTCCCCAAAATGGCTGGGCACACCTGTGAGGAATTTTTGCTTAATCATTTGAAGCAGGAAGATTCACTTCTAATCTGTATCTTTAAAGTGGGAAGACATACCTTTCATCCAGATCTTTTGAGGTGGAAAGACTCATCTTAAATGTGGGCCACACCCTCTGTTGGAAGCCTAAATACAAGCTATGGAAGAAGGAAGCACCTTTCTTTGCCTGGTTGCTCTTGCCCTCACTAGAAAGTCCATTCCTTCACTGGAATTAGAGCCTACTTCTTCTGGATACTGAAGACCATCTGAGATACCCAGCCTTATGAACTAAACAACTCCTGGACTACTGGATTCTTGGAACATCCATTCATAGGCACCTATTGTTGGACTAGCAGAACCACAGCCTGTCAGTCATTCTAATAAATCCTGTATGTATGTATGTATGTATGTATGTATGTATGTATGTATGTATGTATGTATATTTGTGTGTGTGTGTGTATATATATATGTGTGTGTGTGTGTGTGTGTGTGTGTGTGTGTATGTGTGCAGTCACACACATATATGTGTGCATATGTATATGTATATACATATATATATATATTCATTCCCTAAGTTCTGTTACTATAGAGAACCCTGACTAATATACCCAGTCCTTTATTTCTGTTATATCATAGCTAATTCTGTAACCTGAACTGTCCCTATGATTGTATTTGGAGTCCACCTCAATAATCTGGAGTTTCATCTCAAGGTCCCTAATTCAACTACACCTGCAAAATTATTTTTGCCAAATAAGATAATGTTCATAGGTACTAGAGACCAGGACCTAGATATTTGGGGGAAGGGTTGGTTATTCAGTCTCTTGCAAAAGAAGTTGAGAAATTTTGCATATCCTTTTTTTTTTGGTAATAAGACCAGAACTCAGGGTTTGTGCATGCTAGGCAAGTGTTCTGCCACTGAGCTACAGACTCCCAGCCCCAATATCATTTTTAGTTCACAGAGTCACAATTTGTTTAATGTAAAAATTCCATCATTAAATTTAATAAAAGAATAAAAATAGCTATTTACAAAAGATATTAAATTAAGGAATCATATTAATAATTAGTTCATTATATGACCAAGTATAAAAGACCTAAAACAAATTCCTTGATCACTACTCTATATAAAATCAGCATGTCTTCAAAACAGAAATATAGGTTCTAAGAGAGGGGGAAACGTGGTAGTTATATATACATTTTGAATAAGGATATAGTATTGTCAGAAAACATACCAAAGTATGCATTAAACACACCTAAAATTATCAAGCCTGCTCTTAAAGATTGGTTCAGAAACCTGGATTCCAGAGACTTAATTCCTTCTTGGATCCAATGTAATAAAGCAATATCAATTAAAGAATGGGGGGTTGTGGAAAGAAACCAGTCAGCATCACATAATACTTTGATTCTAGCAGGCTGGCCAATCCCTTACCTAGACTGGAATAAATGTGGCTGAGAATACGAGCTGGCTGTACTCTGATGGGATACACCTCAGCAATGGTCTCCGTATCAATTCCCTTGCCCTTCAAAATGGCCTTGATTTCTTCCGTTTCAGCTAGAATGGAGACTGTAGGAAAGAATGAAGATGAGGTCAACAGAAGGTTTTAGTCTAATAAACACTTTAAAAATGTCTTTCAGATTTATTTTATGTGTATGAGTGTATGTACATGTACCACATGCTACCCTGGTGCCAATGGAGGTCAAAAGAGGGCATTGGATCTCCTGAAATTGTAGCTATGGAGAGTTATAAGCCACCATGTGGATTCTGGGAAGTGAATCTGGTCCTGGTAGGTCCCTTGGAAGAACAAGTGCTCTTAATTGCTGAACTGAGCCATCTTTCTAGACCCCTAAAAATATTTTCAAGTGCATAATTTCTTTTGAGAGGAAAAGAGGAGGAAATTGTTACTGAGGAATTCTGATTAGTATATTCTCCTCCCATCTCATCTGTTTCTAAGGATTTCTGACAGCCCCGTTTGAATGTTTCTATGCATTGTTGACTCAATATAACTAAAGTTGATCATCTGGATCCTCCTACTATGTCACTTATACCTATTATTCCATCTGTGCTTGTATCATTAAATGGCACACGATACTCCCAGCTCCACAAATGATCACTTTCAATTCATATTTATTCCTCACTGATTTTCTGTATTTATATAACAAGTTCTGGCTTTTTTGCTTTTCATGTCATTTTAAAATCCATCCTGTTTTTGACAGTGCCAATATTTTACTATTAATGTAAGTTATCAACATCTCCTTATATTACAGTGTTAATTTTGTACTGATTTTTCTGTCTTCATTCCAGGCCCAGTAAAGTTTGTCAGTTCATTCTTTTGTGTTTTAAATATCATTGTAACCAACACAAGTGTCCCTTCATTCTTTAATTATTAACTTGAGTGCATTCTTTCTAAGGCACAACTCTGCAGGGGCTTTGTATTTCAGTGATCTCAATAATGGCTTATGAGGACTCTTTGTGATCTAACACTGGACCTTTTTTTTTTTCATCACTGCTCCTCTACAATCCATATCCACACTACAAAGGACTTTTCAGAGGTTGAGAGTTTAGCTCAATGACACAAGTGACTGGCAACTCTGTGAAGGCCTGGCTTCATTCCCCAGAACAACAGGAAGCAAAGCAATAAAAGCTAACTTTGTAACTTTGTGCATGCTGCCTCTTTAATCCAAAACAGTTTCTTCCTTACTTTTACCATCACCTCTATCAGATTAACTGCTTTCTGTCTTCCATCAGGACTCATTATGTCTGTGTATGTAACCCTAGCATCTGACATGACTCTCAGATATTTTATAAATATAAACAAGAATTTGCTCGTGTGGGTTGAATGTACTCCTGGAGTCTCAAAAGGTTATTTGCTTCTTTCTCCTTTAATCCCTTCTGCTCCTGTAAACAACTCTATTGCCCCCTATAGAACCCAGAAGTTCTATAGAATGCAGCATGGGTAACAGTGCCCAACAATAATGTACAAAACCTTAAAGTAACACCTTATGCTTCCATGATGAGCTAACCCCTATCTACTTTTCCATTTTCATTTCTTTTACTGCTTGGTAAAAATCTTTCATACCATAACATTAAAGTCTATGTGGTTTACTACAGCCTCACCAACCTTCAGACCTTTCCTATCTACTTTAAAAAATATGTGTATGGACATTTTGCCTGCATGTATGTCTTTGTGAGGTATGTGAGTGCCTTTACAAGGGTTGCCATGGTCATGGTGTCTCTTCACAGCAATAGAACTCTAATTAAGACAGTCTGACTATGTATCCTGGAACTCCTGATATGGAACAAGCTAGTGTTAAACTCATAGTGATCCACCTGCCTCTTGGCTCCCTAGTGCTGAGATGAAATGTATGTTGTAACACAAATAAATATAAACCCAGAGACAGATATTGGGGTTCAAGCTGAAGATCAGAAAAGCAAAATAGCCAATCACTAGCTCTTACCTCTGTCTCAGACTAAAATGGGTGATCCTGTATCTACGAATCTTCAGAGGCAAATGATTTCCTGTCTGGAAACTAAATCTCACATGAGATCCTTTGCTTCTTCCTTTTATACCTCCCTAGTGCTGGGATTAAAGATGTGAGCTCTGTTACTCTTTTTTACTCTTTTTGGCTGATTCAATCTAGTGTAGCCCAGGGTGGCCCTGAACTCACAGAGATCCATCTGCTTGTCTCCTGAGTTCTGGAATTGAAGGTGTGTGCCACCAATGAATGCCTGGCCTCTACGGCTAGCTAGTATGGCTGCTGGAATTAAAGGTGTGTATCACTACTGCCTGGCTCCATGGCTGTGGCTAGCTTTGCATTTTCATCCCCAGTGGCTTTATTAGATCATAAACAATATATCACCACAATATGCACTACCACACACACAGCCAAAGAGCTGTGTGAGAGAGTACTCAGCTCAGTGTTTTGTATAATGTAATACCCTCACATTTAAGTTGATTCTTGGGGGGAAATTTTAGACATACTCTCTAGTGAGATAATGGTCAGAAGCAAACATTCATTGAGAGATGCAGGCCTAATAGTCTAATGCAAGGAAATATAAATGCATAGAATGCTATGAAAATAAAGGAATACTAGCAGGAAAAATATAGAAAGCATGTTTAAAAAGGAAGTAACAGTAATCAGGGGTAATAAAACATCATGAAATTTTAAAGAAAAGAGTTTCAGGAAATAAGGTATATCAAATATAGTATTTCATAATCCTCTGAGATCATCTTTCATTGACTTGTTTATTATTAACAGTAATTTTGAAACAAAGCTGAACCAAATTTTTTAAATACTTAACACAAAGCCCCCAAATATCTTTCCCTATTCTGACTTTTAATATAACACTTCTATTGCTTGGAGTAATACATACCTTGAACCACCACATCTGGCTTTGGCACAGTAGAAAACCTACGATTCAGGGGATCAATTTCTCCAGGAGCTAAAAATCCCTTTAGAAAATGTACAAAAACAAAATTAATAAGCCTCAAAAATAAAGGTAGGGCAATGGGGAGATGGCTCAGAAGTTAAGTGGAAAGGAGAAACAAGATCAATATAAAGAGGGAAGAATATGAAGTGATAAAAGCCACAGGGAAACATTTTATGTTTACTTAAACATACATATAGTGTGTGTGTGTGTGTGTGTGTGTGTGTGTGTGTGTGAGAGAGAGAGAGAGAGAGAGAGAGAGAGAG